GTCTGTATGTGGGATCCGAACCCTCGGCGGGAGCGCTGCCGCGCTTCCCAAGCGGCGCACTGTAGCAGTGCACCACCGGGCCGGCCCCATTCTGTCAATTTCTGCCTTTTAATTGGAGTTTAATCCATTTACATTTAATGTAATTAGTGATAAAGTAGAATTTATATCTGCTATTTTGCTATTTGTTTTCACAATGTCTTATGTTTTTTTTCATTTCTCACTACCTCCATTACTGCCTTCTTTTTTGGTAAATAGATATTATCTAATGTACAATTTCAATTCCCATATTTCTTTTGCTATATATATTTATTTTCTTAGTGGTTGCCCTGGGCATTCCCATTTACATCTTACTGTAATTCTGATTTATATTAATACCAACTTATTTTTAATAATATCATAAAATTTGCTCCTGTATAGCTCCATTCACTCTCTCCTTTATACTGTAATTGTCCCATATTACCTCTTTATACATTTTGTGTCCATCAACATAGATTTATAATTATTGCTTTATGCAATTGATCTTTTAAATCAGATAGGAGATAAAAGATGTTTTAAAAATACATTATACTGTCTGTTATACTTACCTACATAGTTAGGTGCTTTTTATTTTTTCATGTGGGTTCAAGTTACTATCCACTGTCTTTCAGTTCAGTCTGAAGGACCACTTTTTGTATTTATTACAGGGAAGGTCTTCTAGCAACAAACTCTTAGTTTTTGTTTATCAAGGATAGTTTTGCCAGATAATAGAATTCTTGGTTGACAGGTTTTTTTTCTTTCAGCACTTTGAGTATGCCATCTCACTGCCTTCTAGTCTCCATTATTCCTGATGATAAGTCAGCTATTAATCTTACTGAGGATTCCTTGTATGTGATAAGTTGCTTTTCTTTTGCTGCTTTCATTATGTTCTGTCTTTGGCTTCTGGCAGTTTGATTATGATGTGTCTAGGTGTGGATCTCTTTGAATTTATCCTACTTGAAGTACCTTCAGCTTCTTGAATGTGTAAATTAATGTTTTCCATCACGTTTTGGAAGTTTTGGCTATTATTTTTTCAAATATTCTTTCTGCTCCTTTCTCTTTCCCTTCTCCTTCTGAGACTCTCATTACTTGTATGTTAGTAAACTTGATGGTGTCTCACAAATGGGTCTCTGAGACTCCATTCATTTTTCTTAATTCTTTTTTCTTTCTTTTTTTCAGACTCAATAATCTCAACTGACCTTCAAGTTCTTGATTCTTTTTTCTTCCTGCTCATGTCCATTACTGAGACTCTCTGGTGAATTTTTCATCTTAGTTACACTTTCCAAACCCAGAATTTCTATTTGGCTCCCTTTTATAATTTCTATCTATTGTTATTCTACAATGAGACATTGTTCTCATACTTTCCTTTAATTCTTTAGTCTATAGAACTAAATGGTTTTCTTTATCTCTTCAACATATTTTACAAAGCTGAATTAAATCTTTGTCTAGTAAGTCTAACATCTGGGCTTCCAAAGGAAGTTTCTACTGATTTCTTTCCCACCCCCCACCCCCATGTTTGGGCCATACTTTGTTTCCTTGCACCTCTCATGAATTTTTGTTGAAAACTGGGTATTTTAAATAATATAATGTAGTGATTCTGGAGATCAGATCCCCACCCCCAGGGTTTGATGTTATTGCTGCTTGTTTTAGTAGTTCCTGTTTATTTAGAGGCTTTTCTGAACTTATTCTGTACACTCTGTGTTCTTTGTCATGTGTGGCCAATGAAGTCTTTACTTGGTTATCTCAGTGGTCAGCTAATGATTGAACAGAGATTTCATTAAATGCCTGGAACCAATAAGTCTCCAAGTTTTTGCCAAGGGGCTGTGTGTGCATATTAGGGCACGCCATCAACACTCCACCAGCAGTTTACAGCTCTGCCTTAACTTCCACTTCCTGCTGTGCAGAACCTCAAGATTATCCAGGGTTGAGAGTTCAGGGCCTTCTCAGGTCTTTCCTGACCATGCTCACAGCCCTACACAGGTGTATGGCCTTCCAGATTCCAAGAATATATCTCATGATGTTCTAAGTTTCCCAAGGATATGTTGGAGTATTTTCAAAGTTCCTAAGGACATCTTATTCCTCAGCTTTTCCTATTAAGCTTTTGATTAGGCTATTTTTCATTATTTATTGCCTCACACAGCTGTCATTTTAAAAAAATTACCTGTAATTTTTTTCCAAAAGCATCCTCTGGTGAGAAACTTTTAGCACCAGACAGCCGTTAGTCAGATCAAATAAAGACAAACTTTTCTTTCTTTTTTTTTTTTTAAAGATAACTGGTAAGGGGATCTTAACCCTTGGCTTGGTGCTGTCTGCACCACGCTCAGCCAGTGAGCATACTGGTCATCCGTATATAGGGATCTGAACCTGTGGCCTTGGTGTTATCAGCACCACACTCTCCCAAGTGAGCCACAGGACCAGCCCAAAGACAAATGTTTCAAGTGAGGTCTTCCAGGGAACCACCAGACAGGTCATATAATGACAATTGATTGGGAATGAGGTTTGTAAGGAGAACCAGCTCCATTTTGTTCCCTCTGGTACTGGGGATATGGGCTAATTTTCAGGTTACCACTAAGCTTGACAGTGAGAAATGGTCTAAGGCAAGTTAAAATGATACAAGTCTACTGTTGTTACAGAAATTCAGCCATTTTTCTGGAATATTTATTTATATGCTCCTTGGTTGCTACAAGCCTTGGTTAAATTTCCAGAGTTCTGAAAAAGTTGATTCTGGCCATTTTTGCCATTTTTTGTTCTTGTTGTCTTTATGTAGGGATGAGGTTTCAGATGTCCTTACTCCACCATTTTCACCTACAACATGATTTTAAATCTCTAGTCTCAACGACCATGGATTAATTTAATATTTAATCATGGAAAATGATTAGGGGAAAGAAATAAAAAGAGAAAGTGTAATTCTCATAGATGCTTTCCCAGATAAATACATGAGGTTTGAACAGTTTTTTCTATATTTAATCTTCTCAAAATTAAGGTTAAAGTTACAGCTATTTTGGGCCGGCCCGGTGGCGCACTGGATAGTGCGCCGCTTGGGAAGCACGGCGGTGCTCCCGCCCGAGGGTTCGGATCCCACATACAGACCGGTGAGCGAGGCGCGGGAGCGACGCTGAGGGTTGTGATCCCGTTGCCGGTCCCTGGTCCGGTACGGGGGCAACACTGAGGGTTGCGATCCATTGCCGGACACGGAAAAAGACAAAAAGACAAAAAAAAAAAAAAAAACGTTACAGCTATTTTAACCCCCTTTTCTTTATACAGGTTAAACACAGGCTTTGGAGTCAGAACTGAGTTCAAATTCCAGCTTTGCTTCTTACTAGCTTGGCCACCTAGGACATGTTGTGTAACCTCTCTGTGCCTCAGTTTCCTCATTTATAAAATGGGGTAATAATAATATCTACCATATAAAGTTATTGTGAGGAATAAATGTGAAATGCTTATCACAGATGCCTGGTAGCTGAATAGCTGAATAGATATTAGCTGTAATTAATTATTTTTATAGTGTTCTGCAAAAGTACACTAATGATTCTTGAATCGAGTTACCTGTTTCTTTTCTTTTTTGTTGTTGTTGTTTTTCTTTGTTTGCTTGAAGAAAATCTATTCCAGCACTTTGGAATAAAAATTTGCATCAAAAAATAAACATATTCATTTTATTAATTTACAAACAAAATGTTATTTATTTAGTCAACAAACATTTATTAAATACCTAGTAAATTTCTGGCACTCTGCCAGGCACAAAGATGACAATGACAGTAAGGTGTGGCCCCTGCCCTTCAGCAGCTGACATTCCAGGAGATTGACAAGTATACAGGTGATTACATGCAATGAAACAAAGGCTGTGATGTGATACAAGAACACAAGGGCTGGTATGTCTGTGATGGGGTTATGGTTTTGACCAGTTCCTTCTCTTAGGATGTAAACCTTTTTCTTTGGCTCCAAAGCCAAGGAATTGGTCCCATTTTTTTTCTCACAGTTTTTTGTTTGTTTGTTTCGTTTTGTTTTGTGGCTGGCTGGTAAGGACATCCAAACTCTTGACCTTGATGTTACATAAGGCAGTGCTGCAACCAACTGAGTAACCAGCCGGCCTGGACCAATTTTTTTCTTGACTGGATGGATTAACCATGATTTTTTTTTTGAAATTTCTAAAGGTGAAAGACAAGCACCTTGAATTATGGAGGACACTATAAATACTGTTTCCTGAAGAGTGAGGTCTTTCTACTGGTGAAGTCACTTCTAGGATTTTTGACCTGAAAAGTTTTTTGGAATATTTTTTCTTTGCTATCCATTCTTTTTTTCTTCTTTTCTTTTTCTCTCTCTACTTCATCTTTTGGTTTCCAAAGGAAGAGTACTTTACAGATTCTAAGGGTGATTTATAGGTAAAGACAGAAAATGATTTTTTTTACCTACAAGTTCCATACCAAAATAGAATATAAACTTTTCATGTAGTTTCATTCATATTGAAAATGTAATTTTAATTTCATTGCATTTTTCAGAATTCTCAATCATAATCCTCTCACTACTGTTGAAGACCCACATCTTTTTAAATTGCCAGCATTAAAATATCTGTATTACAATGTCATGAGTCATGAGATGACTTCTGCTCTTTTTTCCTTTCATCAAAGACTAAGTATTTTCACTTAGGCTGAAATATCATAATTTTAATTTTAACTGGGTTATTTGGGGAAAAAGTTATTGGCAAAGGAAAGGACTAAGAAAGGATGTATAATGGGCAAGACAGCTAGCATTGGAAGAAACACGTGTAGAAATATCACTTATCCCAGAAAGCAAAGAGGAAGAGGTATACATTATTTAAAAGAAGGGGAAAAAAAGAGTAATCAAGACAGGTGAATACAAAAACAAAATAAAAAGATAATGGTTAAAAAAAAAAGGTAGAGGTTCTACTATTCAATGCCAATGCCATTAATTTAATGGTGCAAATAAACTTAAATTTATTCAATAAGAGCTCTCTAGAATCATCTTCTATGGCCAATAAACTCTTAAGCTTTTCTATTTTATAGAGAAGCCAAATTTGAAATACTTATATGTCCTTGAAATGTCTTTCTAAGTACAGAACTTTTGTATTGGGGTTCCTATCATGAATGCTTGGGCTTTCTCCTTCAGAGACATGGGAGCAAGACAAGTGTCACTTACAATAATTGAGAACGCCCTCCTGATGACTCTTGAATTGGAAAAACTGTAAGTTATTTTTTTCTTAGATTTACTTTCATTTAGTTGTTTTATTATTATTATTATTATTTTTATTTTTATTTTTTTTGTCTTTTTCGTGACCGGTAAGGGGATCGCAACCCTTGGTGTGGTGTCGCCCACACCACGCTCAGCCAGTGAGTGCACCGGCCATTCCTATGTAGGATCTGAACCCGCGGCAGGAGCGTTGCTTCGCTCCCAGCTCCACACTCTCCCGAGTGCGCCACGGGGTCGGCCCTATTTTGGGTTTTTAAAAAATGTTTACCTTGGGCCGGCCCGGTGGTGCACTCGGTAGAGTGCGGCGTTTGGGAGCGTGGCGGCGCTCCCACCGAGGGTTTGGATCCCATATAGAGACCGGTCCGCTCACTGGTTGAGCGCGGTACAGGCGCGACACCGAGGGTTGCGATTCCGTTGCCAGTCACGAAAAAAGACAAAAAGGAAAAAAAAAAATGTTTGCCTTTCTACTAGTAGGTGTGTAGTCATTATGGTTTTAATTTGCATTTCTTTAATAGCTGATGATATTGAGTGTCTGTTCATGTGCAAATATCTTCTTTACTGGTGTCTGTTTATATATTTATTTTTTATTTATGTTTATTATTTATTATATGTTTATTTTTTTAAAGATGACTTGTAAGGGGATCTTAACCCTTGACTTGGTGTTGTCAGCACCACGCTCTCCCGAGTGAGCTGTGGGCCGGCCCTCAATTCCCATATTTTGATTGGATATTTATCTTCTTATTGATTGTTAAGAATGCTGTATTATATACTCTGGATACAAGTACTTTTTCTCAGATATCTGTTTCACAATCTTCTCTCAGGTTGTGGCTAATCTTCTTATTCTATTAAAAGTGTCTTCTGAAGAGCTGAAGTTTTTAATGTTTCAATTTTGATGGTCTAATATAGCAATTTTTTCTTGAATGGCTTGTGCTTTTTTGTGTCTGACCTAAGAAGTCTTTGTATAAGCACCCATTGGCTAATCAAAACTCACAAAGATTTTCTCCTATGTTTTCTTCTAGGTCTATGATCCATTTTGAGTTAATTTTTATGTAGGGTGCGAGGTATTTCATTTTTTTGCGGTTTTTTATTTCTGCAGGGCCCCATTGTGACAGTTTGTTACACAACTCACCTCAGCCTACATTTTGCCATCCTCCCTCCAGTATGGCAAGCTAAATAGAAATGTGCTGTTGTGCTAAGTCTGGTTGAGGGGATTACACAAGATCAGTATGGAAAAGGCCCTTCATTTGCAATCTGCTGCAGTCATTTTTGTCAGGGCACCTCCTTGACTATCTTCACGACGTTGTCATCAGATCCATCAGTTACTGCTCTAGCCTCATCGCCCTCAACCTCCTGTAGCATCTGACACAGCCGATCTCTCCCATGTTGGCTAGATGACCTTCTCACTGCATAGTCAAAGTTCTCATCAACTAGCTCTTTAACTTTGTTATCTATGGTAGTAGGGTTCTATCTGCTTTTCTCTTGACCACGAGTGGATAAGAAAAGTGCTGTCGTTTGGGCCGACCCTGTGGCTCACTCGGGAGAGTGCAGCGCTGGGAGCGCTGAGGCTGTGGGTACGGATCCTATATAGGGATGGCCGGTGCGCTCACTGGCTGAGCGTGGTGCGGACGACACCATGCTGAGAGTTGCGATCNTGTGCTAAGTCTGGTTGAGGGGATTACACAAGATCAGTATGGAAAAGGCCCTTCATTTGCAGTCTGCTGCAGTCATACTTGTCAGGTCACCTCCTTGACTATCTTCACGACGTTGTCATCAGATCCATCAGTTACGGCTCTAGCCTCATCGCCCTCAACCTCCTGTAGCATCTGACACAGCCGACCCCTTCCATGTTGGCTAGATGACCTTCTCACTGCATAGTCAAAGTTCTCATCAACTAGCTCTTTAACTTTGTTATCCATGGTAGTAGGGTTCTATCTGCTTTTCTCTTGACCACGAGTGGATAAGAAAAGTGCTGTCGTTTGGGCCGACCCTGTCGCTCACTCGGGAGAGTGCGGCGCTGGGAGCGCTGAGGCTGTGGGTACAGATCCTATATAGGAATGGCCGGTGCGCTCACTGGCTGAGCGTGGTGCGGACGACACCATGCTGAGAGTTGCGATCCCCTTACCGGTCACAAAAATAAAAAATAAAAAAGAAAAGTGCTGTCGTTCTCTGTAGCCGTTTGCCATCAAGGCCACAAAGAGATTAAAGCAACTGCCACAGTGGAGTTCATTATTGAAAGTCCTTGGAGTTTAGACATT